CAACTGTTATAAAAAAAAAAAAATCAGTTAAAAATATTAACTAGTTCAAAAGTTAATTAAGTTTTCAGAGTTTTCACTCTGTATATATAGAATGGATCCAATCTAACTGACAACTCTTATAACTTTTGATACAACTAACACTACATTGAGATTTTTTTTTTTTATGTTTTATGTATTCTAAAGGTGGGGCCTGGACCATAAAATGAATTAATTGGTTAATTTTTTTCAGTTATAATACAAAAATCATAGAATGTTGATATTATTTACTTAATTTCCAAGTAGGAGTACTTTGTTCCATGTCTAACATAAACAAATCATTATAAAATATACTTTTTAGGTCATCTTCTTCTTCTTCTTCATCATAAACTCCTCCAAATAAAAAACTTTTATTATGACCAGTTATTATTGTACTTGATAAACTACAACGAACAGTTGGTAGATTACCAGTTTGTTTTACTTTTGACCAACGACAATTTGAATAATCTGTTACACCTTCTGTAAAATTTTTTACATATTTAAATATTGTCAATATGTATTTTATCAATTTAATTTTTCCAATAAAATCTAGAGATATAAACAAACTAAAAAATAATCTAGTCTCTATTTGAATATTTTTAGAATATTCAGTTGAAATGTGTACTAATAAACAGATTTTATGCTCACTTTCAGGAGTTAGAATAAACATATCAATTAACATTGTTCCTTTGTCACAATCTTTTTTTACTTTTTCTTTAAAATATCCACCATATATTAAAATTCGTCCATCCTCTATTGGAAACATTTGACATCCAGACCTAGGTGAAGGTCCTTGACCTAAAAATAAAATTCACATCTAAAAGATTAATAAAATAGGGAAAATTTTAGAATTTGAAAAAATAATGAAATTTGAAACCTTAATACTATTAAATAATAAAATTGTACAGTTATTGTACTAAAAATTAGATTTTATTATAGCTAATATTCCTATATTTGAAAATTATGATGTCATTATGTAAACTGAAACTTGGCTTATCTTGATATCCTAATTCTGAACTCACTAATTTTCTAGTGTTTAGGTTTGATAGAAACACTTTATCTAGTAATTGTTCTAGAGGTGGCGGTATACTGGTAGCTCCAACCAGTCCAACTACAATTCTTTACCTATCTGTATTAATGTTAATAATGTTGAACAAATCTTTATTCTTACAAATATATCATCAATACAAATACTTTTTGTAGTAGTTTACCTTCCACCAAATAGTCCTGCTCAGTTGTACAAA